TCTTCATTAAAACCATCCACTTGTGGTATTTCTGTTGTAGCAGCACTAGATGACTAAGACACCATCCAGAGGCCCCTCAGAAGATTTGAAAACCCTATGGAGCAGTTCTACTCTGCACACATTTGGTTGCCATGAGGCGGAATCGACGGCAGCTAACAACAGCATGTGAAACTAGGGTCCCTAAGTGGTACAAACCGTTTGTACTCAACTACTAACCTAAAGGTTGGCAATTCAAACCCACCCAGCGGTCCCATGGAAGAAAGGCCTGGTGATCTGATTCCATAAAGATTATAGCCAAGAAAACCCTATGGAGCAGGTCTGGTCTGTAACACATGAGGTTTGCCATAAGTCAGAATCAACTGAATGGCAACAGATACGTGAAGCTAAGACCTTGTTTTCCATTTGCATTTCTTTTAGAGCACCTCGTGCCTATACACTCTGACCTGGCCTTCTAAATACAGGCCCTGTTCGTGCAGGACATAGCCAGAGAGAAAGGGAACCATTGGAGTAACATGGGCTCCCCATCCATTGCAGTAGGGGGCATGGAGTCCTTAAGCTTCTTTCTTCATCTTCTGTCCAGAGAACCAATGCCAGCTTTTAACTGATGCTGTCATTAGTCCACACCTCCCTGGGTTTACCTATTCATCGCTATCTGTAGTGTGTGGTTCCCTGCTCCTGTGGGAGTGTCCTTTTTCTAGACTCAGGTACAGTCTCCTGAACTGCCCTTACACACATGGGTAGCCTAGGAAATGAGGGGAAAGCCCTTGTGCTTTTCCTTCTTGACCTACACAGTGAAGCGTCATAATAAGAAAATGCACAGATTCTGGAGCCAGACTGACTAGGTTCAAATCCACTTCTACCATTTACTGGACAGATGATTTAACTTCTCTGAGCTTCATTTGCCTCATCTCTAATTGGGATGATAACAGTGTCTGTTTTATAGGGATTTTGCCAGGATTAATGAGTGTTAAACATTTCTGGCAGTGTCCAGCACATAGTAAACACTCAATAAGTGTTAGCTATTATTTCTCTGCTGACCCTGTGCCCTGTGGTCTGTACTTTCTAGCCTTGCAGTAGATGCTAGAGAATAAAAGCAAGAAAGGGGAACAAAACAAACAGCTCGCAATAATTTTGCTGTACTTGGCCCTTTACAGAGAAGTTCAGGAGTAAAGGTGCTGTCGAGTCGACTTTTTTGACTTACAGCAACCTCAGTGACAGAGTAGAACTGCCCCAGAGGGTTTAGGCTGTAATCTTTACGGAAGCAGATTGCCAGGTCTTTCTCCTGTGGAGCCACTGGGTGAGTTCGAGCTGCCAACTTTTTGGTTAGCAGCCAAGTGCTTAACCATTGCACCACCAGGGCTCCTCTGAGGAGTGTGTAGTATTTAGAAATGTATCTCACATGATGCTTCCTCCTCCTTTTTGTATGCAGATACTGTATTGTCATTCTAGCATTGTATGTTTGTGTTTTATGTGCATATCTCCAGTTATTCACATAAGATGAACTGTTAGAGAAAATGCCTTAAGATCCCTTCCCTTGGGTCTTAAAAGCTTGCAAGCGGCCATCTAAGATGCATCAATTGGTCCCAACCACTTGGAGTAAAGGAGAACGAAGAACACCAAAGACACAAGGAAAGTATTGGCCCAAGAGACAGAATGGGCCACATAAACCAGAGACTTCATCAGCCTGAGACAGAAGAACTAGATGGGGCCTGGCTACCACCAATGAACGTCCTGACAGGGAACACAGCAGAGGGTCCCTGATGGAGCAGTATAACGATGGGATGCAGAAGTCAAATACTAGTAAGAAGACCAGACTTAATGGTCTGACTAAGACTGGAGGCACCCCGGAAAGCATGGCCCCTGGTCTCTCCATCACCCCAGAACTAAAACAATTTCCGAGGCCAACTCTTCAGACCGATTGGACTGGACTGTGGTACATAAAGTGATACTCGTGAAGAATGTGCCTCTTAGACAAGTAGATATAAGAGACCAAAGGGGTGGCTTCTGTCCAGAGGTTAGAGGGGATGGCAGAGAGAGTAAGGAGCTGGTTGAATGTTCATGGGGAACCAGGGGCGGAGGGGAGGAGTATGCTGTCGCAGAATAGGGTGAGTGGTTGGGGTCTCATAACACTGTATGTTAAAAAGAAAATTCTGTATGGGAGACTAACTTGAAATGCAAACTTCATTTAATTACATCAATAAAAAAAAAAAGGAAAAAAAAAAGATCCCTTCCCTACCCCTCTCCTTTCCACCCTTCCTTCCCCCTATACACATATCACACCATACATATGTATACATTTGCCTAAATACACCCCGGAAATCAGAAATTGCCAACTGGTGGCAAAGGTGTGAGTCGTAGGTATGCAGCCAGGAACTTGTTCGCTGATGTGTATTTGTCATTTTCACAGGGCTGTGCAAAGTTAGGTCCTCAGTAGGCTCTGAGCCAGGCCCCCATTCTGCTCTGTGAGGGATCGAGACCAGTGTCATATTCCTATCCACAACCCCGTCTCAACTTGAGGTTCATGGCTAGGCAGGTTTGCATCTTTCATAAATAGGAGCACCTGCTTAGCTCAGTTGGGTCCTACAATTAAATAAGAGAATCCTACATAAATAGAACTCTCTGGCTTGAAGAAGTTCCTGTCCAGAGAAAGGTTGAGAAATAAGCAACGTCCATATACTAAGTCTACCTGGTTGAGAGGTCCAGTGGGAGCTTGGAGGAAAGGAAACCCGTTTTCCTGGAAGAGTCAAAATCTTCCAAGAAGAGAGATGATACTTGAACTGAGATTAGGAAGAATAGGAGTTTGTCTGGCAGGCTTGGCAGAGTGAAAGCCACATACAGGGAACAGCAGAAAGAAAGAGGCATGAAACAGCATAGTAAAGGGGGCAAACAGGATATACTTCAGTGTCATGAGGGCAAAAGGGCATGCCCTGCAGGGAGTGATGGGAGACAGACATGGCCTTGATGGAGGGCCTTGAATATATGCTAAGGCGTTTTTAATTTGACTTAAAGGTGATCTTGTTATGTCTCCAGTCATTAGCTTCCCCGGCTGCAACATCAGGAAGCCAGGTCACCTGGAGCCCATCCTTATGCTGTTATCAGGTCCTTCAGGCTTAGCTCCAATTAAGCTAGGACTTGAAGGGAAGTGTCACTTTTCCTGCTTTTATTCCCAGGCCACAGCACAAATGGAAGAACGACTAGCAGAATTTATTTCCTCCAACTCTCCAGACAGTGTGTTGCCCTTGGCAGACGGAGCCCTGAGCTTTATTCACCATCAGGTGATTGAGATGGCTCGAGACTGCCTGGATAAATCTCGGAGTGGCCTCATTACATCACACTACTTCTACGAACTTCAAGAGAATTTAGAGAAACTTCTGCAAGATGTGAGTGTCCTGTACCCTTGCTCTGATAAAATCTCCACATGGGTAAGGGATTATTAGTCCCAAGCTGAGATCAAGGCAGTGGTGTTCCCAGTCTTCCTAGCCTGTTTCCCACCACTAGGGTGGCTCTGCCAGGCCCTAAACTCCCTGCAGATTTCCTTGCTGGTATGCAGGGCCCACCCTCAAATGTGGGGGTGATGGATGTAGATTCCCTCAGTCGCCTGCGTTACTGACAGAAGCCTGTGTCCCACCTTGCTTGATATCAAAGGACTTCAACTCTGTGAATCCTTTCTTTTCTAATCCAGGCTTGTATTACTCTGCCTGCAGCTCTAACATTGTTAGTATTCATAAGTATTTAACTAGGAGATTTGTAACCTAAAGCCAAAAAAGCAGCCCGAATAGCTGTAGTGGGCTCTCTTCTAGTAGAAATATTGATTTAAGCCGAGACTTTAGACTTTCTCTTCAGCCAAGGAAAAGTAGATCTGAGGCTTATACTATGCGTTTATGCATTTGCTGACATTCCGGTTGCACGGTGAGAAGTTCTTTTGTGGGGACTTCCGTGTGAAAAAAACTCTGGGAGGCCAAAGGTAATCCATAGATGGCTAAGACCAAAGCATATATTGAGTTCTTACCCACTCCTCATGCTCCGGTGCTTGCTTTGCTATCAGCCACTCCAGTAAGGTGGTCAGGTCCCTTCCCACTTAGATCACAGTTGCCCCATATTACACCATTAGTAGAGTTCAGGGTGGCAGTGTGGGGGGAACATGTCTACCTCCCCTGAGTTCTCCCTGTCACTAGGGTGTTTCCTGGTTAGAATCCCTCGTTATCTCCAGACCCACGACCACTCTCTAAAGTAACACTAGCTGAGCTGAGAACCCATGGCTAATGATCAAACAGGACTTCAGTGTGTTAGTCTAGAAATTAGGATGATCAAGGAATTGAAAATAATTTTAGGAAAAAGTTAAACCTAGAGAAAGGATGACTAAAGATGATCATGATTATTGCTGCCAAATATCAGAAAGTCTCTCATATATAAAAGGCGGCAAATTGTTCTTTGTAGCCCTAAAAGACATAACTACCCAGTGGGCAGGAGTTATAGTGAGAAAGATTTTTATTTAATAGGTGGAAAAAAAAATAGGTAAAAAAAGTTCCTTATACAAAAAAAAATTTATTTCTGATTTCAAAAGTAATACTTATATTCAAACATTGTGGAAATATGACTTAGCCAAATTACTAGCAGTTATTCAAGAATAACTTTTTAACAGTTTTCCAACAATGGATAAGGGTGCCCCCAAAATATTTAGGAACCAGGATTGCTACATCAGGTAAAAGATTAGTAAGATTAATGTGGAGTGATTGCCAAGTTTCCTTTACACCTAAGATTAATCTTCCTCAATGCTAAAATCAGAGCCTTGCCCAAAACCTTGAAGTAAATTGTTTGGTGCAATAGGAAGAGTGCCAGTTTGGAGCCAGTCTGTTCATCTGTTCCCTAATGCTCTAGGTTCTGAGAATGCAGGAAAAAATACTACATCAAAAGCTCTGTCTGAAGGAACATGCCATTGACTTGTGTCACAGACCCATCAACAGATACTTACAATAAAAATAGCAGCTGTCTTTCGTTGGCATGTACTGTGTGCCAGACTCTATACTGAATGCTTTATCTGAATTATCTCGCTTCGTTTATTACAGTGCAGTGTGACTGATGAGCACTAAACTGAGGTAGATCCTGGGCACAGTAGGACATGCTAATGCTGCATGGGGAGCTGAAGGAAGGTTGAGTCTTAAGGAGTAGGTAGGCGTTCACTGATCCTAGGGAACAGTATAAACAACCTCTCAGAGGTGTAAAGGAAATTGATACATCCCAGGATTGCAGATGAAATAGTCTGGCATGACGAGAGTGAAGGATGCCTGCAGGAGAAAGTTGGTAGATAAATTTGAAACTTTAGACCAGGAGCCAACTCATGAAGGGCCTTGTGAGAAGCTTAGATCTTATCATGAAGGCGGTGGGGAATCATTGAATGGTTTTAAGTTGGAAAATGGCTTAGATTTGCATTTAAAATAATAAAAATCACTAACATTTAATAAACACTTAACACATGCTAGACACTACATTATCTCATTTAATTTGTCTAATTTAATCTTCACAAAAATCCTGTAAGGAAGCTACTACTGTTATTCCCAAAACTTACAGATGAGGAAACTGAATCTTAAAGAGGCTAAGTAAGTAGCCCAAGGTAACTCATTTCTTTTTTTTTTTCTTTTTTTTATTGTACTTCAGGTGAAGGCTTACAGAACAAATAGTTTCTCATGAAACAGTAGTACACATATTGTTTTATGACATTGGTTAACAACCCCACAACATGTCAACCCTCTAACTTCTCAACCTTTTTTTTTGGTGAAAATACACATAGCCAAAGATACACCATTTCAAAAATTTCTACACGCACAGTTCAGTGACATTGACTACGCTTTTCCAATTGTGCTGTCATTCTCACTTAAGATGAAGGCTTACAGAACAAAATAGTTTCTCATTTAACAGTTACTACAAATGTTGCCCTATGACAATGGTTAACAATCTCACAACACATCAACAATATCCTTACTCAACCTTGGGTTCCCTATCACCAGCTTCCTTGTCCCCTTCTGCCTTCTGGCCCTTGTCACTGGACTCCTGTACCTCATTAGTCTCACTTGGTTTTACAGGGCTGTCCACTCCCAGGCTGAACAGTGAACCTCGGAGATAACTTCACCACTGAGCTAAAAGGGTGTCTGGGGGGGTAACTCATTTCTTAAGTAGCAGAGCTAGAACCCAAACCTAGGTTTGTTTATTCCAGAGCCTAAGATCACACATTTTCAAATACTTAGTCAACAAACGTTGACTGACAACTGCTATGTAAGAAGCACTATGTTAGGCTTACCATGTGAGGGAAGGGAAAAAGAGGAGAGAGATAGCCTCTCTTCTCACAAGGCCCTACTATGGACTGTAGAAACAGGCAACTAATTATAAACATCATAGTACTGATGGTATGAGGAAACAGCTAGAAAAATACAGAAAATGAAGTCGTTACTTCGTGTGTGTGTGCGCGCGCATGCGCGTGGACATGCGTGGGTGTGTTGGGGGCAGGGGACTTAGATGAGGCTTTACAGAGTCGACATTTGGGCTAAGTCTTAAAGAATAAGCAAAATTTCAGTAACTGCCTAGCCTTTCTCTTCATTTCATAACCAGTTTTTTTTTTTTTAAAGGGTCCTCATTTGCTATTTTTTTCCCCTTATAACCTATTCACTACTCAGTCTTTGCCTTGTAGTTTTTCTTCTCATCATCCCACTAAAACTGTTCAAGCAAAAGTGACTAAGGAACTAATTGGTCAGTTGCCAAATCCTATGACCTCCTTCAATCGTCATCTTTCTTTACCTCTCTGTGGAACTTCACGTGATTAATACCTCTTCTTGAACTTTTTTTCCCTTGTTGTCATGACATTGTTCTCTCCTGTCTTGCTGCTCATGTCTTAAATGCTGGGCACCATCCTGAGTGGCTGATCTCCTTTCTTCCCACTCTCTCTGGACAGCCTCCTCTGCTGCATGTCTTCATTTACCATGTGCATGCTGAGGACTCCCACGTCTGGCTGCCTCCTGCGCTGTTCTCCTGAGCTCCACATCAGTGCCCCCAGCTGTTTACTGGGCTCCTCCACTTTGACTTCTCTTGTTGTTAATATTCTTTGGTTGTAAGTATTAGAAATCCACCTCGGAGTAGCTAAGCAGTAAAGGGACACTAATTATGAGAACTAGAGAAGTGAATACAGCCAGGCCTTAAGAAGGGTCCAGAACTACAAACCAAACCTGTGGGAAGCCCAGGAAATATTCCTTCTCTTATCTCTGGGTGGTTTTTCCTCTAGCTTTGTGGAAGAGATGACCGTCTTGTTTTATCCAAGAGTAGATTATATCACTCTAGCTACTCTGATATTAACAACTGTCTTCTCATTCATTTTTAACTTCCTAGGAAAGAGAATCGGATAAACCCAATTTTGACCCACACCAGTCAGCTACTGGGGTTATGGGGGGTTGGGGGGACGGGGGCGTACAGCCACATGATAAAAATGTGGCTCCTGGAAGCCAGAGCAGTTGTCAGAGAAAAGAGAAAGGCTCCTGGGCTGAGCAAATACTCAAAAAAGCGTGCAGTGTAGGTACCTTGTACTTTACAAGTCCAAAACTGAACGTATCTTCTCCCTCTATCTGCTCTTTCTCTAAAACCAAATGTAATAAGTTCTTTACGTATTCTCACCTAAACTGTCTGTCTTCTTATATTTCCTATTTCATTTCATGGCTTCACTGTTTCCCTAAAACTGAGGTTGGAGTTACCTCCTATTCCTATTTCTTCCACCCCTCAGGTCTACTTAGTCATCCACCTCTGAAATGGCCCAAATCTGTCCATTTTTCTCCATTCTTAGTTCCTTGACTTTACACCTTTTTCATCTGAATTATTGCAATAGCCTGTTACTGGGTTTTCCTGCTTTGGGGCTTGCCCACTTTAGTGCACTTAGATATGCACCTGGTCACATCACGACCCTGCTGTGAGGTCTTAACATCAGTGAAGGCTCATTGAGAGTTGCTCCTTGAGCTGGGGTCTGGAGGATGAGTGAAGCTTGTTGGGTGGTGGAGCAGGTGAAGTTGTGTATCTTTGTGATGCCTCTTGGTGCCAGTGTTCTAAAGCACAGACCTCCCCCCTCACAGCTCCCTGGCCTTCTCGGAGTCCTTTGTTTCGCAGAGCTCTCTATACCATCAAATTGTTTCCCCTGTAGTCAGCTCTGCCTAGCCCAGTTCTGCTTAGCCCAACCACACTGGGCTTCAGTGTTGTTTGCTTAAGTGACCTTTGTCTTCTTTGCAGGCCCACGAACGCTCAGAGAGCTCGGAGGTGGCTTTTGTGATACAGTTGGTGAAAAAGCTGATGATTGTCATTGCCCGCCCCGCTCGTCTCCTGGAATGCCTGGTGAGTGGGCTCTGGGAAAGTTAGTGGGGTGGGGTGGGAGCAGGGGGAGTAGAGGAAGTGTCCTGCTAACAACAAAACTGTGATGGCACCCGCTGCCATTTCTGCTGCTGAAGTCCTTATTTGAAGATGATATTCGAGCACTAGGTGACCAGTAGGGCTCTCATGAGGAAGAGTGGGTGGTCCTGAGGGGCATGGCAGGGACAGTACTAGTCTGGCCCACCCCTACCCTGAGAAGGACCCAGACCACAGTGTTCCGGCCACCACGGGGGCAGGGAGCATCAAGGAACACAGGCCATTTTAGTTTGTACAAATTGAGTCATTCATCATTCAGCAGCACTTTACTGAGTACCTACTTCCTGCTGACACTGGAGGTACAGGCACGAATAAAGCAGAGTCCTTAACCTCAAGATGCTCACTCTACAGTGGAGTTGGGGAGTATAAGGCCTATAGACATGTAAATAATAATCATAATGATGCAAGAAGTGTTGCAACTGAGATAAGTACAAGGTGCAATGAAAATATAGTGAAGGAAGCGCATTAAACTCCTTTAAACTCAATGAAACCTCCCTGGGAGAGATGATGCTTATTCAGGAACCTGAAGGATGAGTGTGAGCTTGCCAGGTAAAGAGCCTGGGAAAGGGCCTTACATGCTGTAAGGAATTTGCCAGGGGAACAAGCATGGTATATTTAGGGAATGGAACATGTAGACAGAGCACAGGGTGTGTTTGAAGAAATGGTGAGTGGTAAGCCTGGAAGCAGGCCATGAGAAATCATGGGGCCGTTGGGTCTTCAGCTCAGGAGTTTGCATTTTATCCTTAAGGCTACTTGGAACCATCAGAAAATTTAGGCAAGAATGCAACATGGTTGGATTTTCTTTTTTTTTTTAAACCAACTTTATTGAGGTATAATTTACATAAAATATGTCCCTTTTGAGTGGTACTGTTCAGTGAGTTTCAACAAATACATATACCTGTATAATCGCTGCCATGGAGAACATTTCTCTCATCTCAGAAAGTTCCCTTGTGCCCTTTTGTTCCCCACCCCACTCCCAGGCAACTTTTCTTTCTTTAAAGAAACGTCTGCTTGCTTTCCCTGTGGGCAAGTTTCCCTTTTTCACAATTTCATATAAATGAAATCATATAGTATGTTCTGACTTCTTTCATTCAGCGTAATTTTTTTTTTGAGATTCATACATGTTTTTATGTGCATCAGTAATTCATTCATATTCAGTTCTGAGTAGTATTTTATCAGGTTTACTTTTTAAAAAGATTACTGTGGCTGCAACTTGGATAGTGAATTGGAAGAGAGGGCAGGATGGGCCAGGGTAATCAGTACAAAGGAATTCGTGTAAAAGATGGGGTGGCCTGAACTAGGACAGTGGTAGGAGAACAGAGAGGAAGAGGAGTATTAGAGAAGTAGACATTCTGACCAGATAGGGGCTAAGGAAGAAAAAGGAGTTAAAAGGACTTCCAGGTCTGGCTTAGGTTATATCTAGATAGGTAGTAGTATAATTCTCCAACATGGTGAGACCAGAGAGGAAGAAAGCCAAATTCAAAGTGGAGACTGGACCAGAAGGCCTCTCCCTCAAGAATATGAAGTCCATGATTAAATACAGGCCTGGATTTGAATGCTGGTTTTCTATTTCTTCCTACCTCTGTGACCATAGAAAGTCAGTGCATCTCTGTGGGCCTTGATTTCCTCCAGAGGATCATAGACTTGTTCTAAGAGCTTAGCACAGAGTATGGCATTAATAGGCACTCAGTAAATGGGTCCCTCATTATTATGTACTCTCTGCAGACAAGGACTGTGCTCTGTTCCACACTGGATCTCTTGCCCCTAGCACACAGGAGGCATGTGGGAAATATTTGAGGGCATGCACACATGCCCAGCCCAGGGTTGTGAGTTAAAGCTCTTGTGACCCATAACTGAGTGTGTACCAAGACTGCTCTCTGGACTGGTGTGAACACGCCGGACAATGCCATCTGGTTGAGGGAAGGCTTGGGACTGTGTGAATAGGCTGAGCAATCTTGAACCCAAAAGCTCTGATCCTTTTTGCAGCATATACTTAGATGTCCAGCCTGGAGGTGACCTCTGAGACAGCTTTGTCCCATTCTACTGATCATGTTCTTTCTGAGTATTCAGGGGTAGGGGTGATCTATCATAAAGACAAAGTCTTGTTCTTCCCACTTTAGGTATATGCTGTAAAACCAGAGAGGCCAACAGCCTTCACTTGTAGCTCTCAGCACTGACAACCTTTCTCCCCTGGCACAGGAGTTTGACCCTGAAGAGTTCTACCACCTGTTAGAAGCAGCTGAGGGCCACGCCAAAGAGGGACAAGGGATTAAATGTGACATTCCCCGCTACATCGTTAGCCAACTGGGCCTCACACGTGATCCCCTAGAGGGTGAGCATGCTGCCTGGTGGCTGGCCCCACAGCCTACAGACTTGAACAGCAGGGAAGCAACTTGTAGAAGAGCCTTAGCTTGGACATGGACACAACACAGCATTGGGAGCCTCAGGACTATAGGAGGCACCCTGCATTCTCTGCCATTAAACAGCCTTTCCTTTGGAATTGCTGTTGACATCTGCCTGATATACCCCAGGCTTGACTGCCTTGGGTCCAGCTGGGTTGGAATTGGAGCCCAAGGTCAAAAGAAGTCAACATTAAAGGACCACAATCACATTTTCAAAAATGGTCACCTCCTCTGCATGATTGCGTCTCCTGCTGGCCAGTTTACGAGTCCTCTTTTGTCTTTGGGGTAGTTTGAGACTACAAGGGCTTCAGAGGATATCTCCACTCTTCTGGACTTCAGATTGGTTCCCTGTACAAACCATGGGCTTCCAAGTCCCTGGTATATAGTCGCCCTCCTCCTGCCTTCCCTGCTTCAGAGTAGAGTCTTGGCCAGCAGGATGGGGACTGGTAGCTCAGCTTTGGGCCCTGCTTTCCAGTGAATGCCCCAAGTCCCAAGAGAACCCTTGTAGAATTTGCCAAGCCCTGTGAATGGCACTGAACTCCTAGAAATAGAAGTGGCAGTATTATTTGGCTTATTCCTGATCCCAAAGCTGTGACAATGCTGAGGACAGAGCCATGGGGCTGGATTTGCATCCAAGGCTGATGCAGAAAGCATTAATACCTACCCTGCATGCACTTGTGTGGTCTTAGGGGACTGCTGAAATGCCTCACATTGCCACGCATTTTCTCTTGTGTCCTTGCTTTGTCTCTAGAAATGGTCCAGTTGAGCAGCTATGACAGTCCTGACACTCCAGAGACAGATGATTCAGTTGAGGTAAAGACCCTGACCTCCTGCCATAATCCTGGAGCCTGGGCCCTATGAAGCAAAAGACTGTGGGTTCTCCTTAAGAGAGCATCTGATAATATCAAGTCCTGAGAACACAGCTCAGCTCTTCCCTGGAGCACGTAAAGGCGGGATGGGGAGTATGGTTGCTAATGCTGGCTAGGAAGTCATTCACCTACTAAGCAAGATTAGACCGGAGGCTGCAGCAGGGCTAAGAGCTGAGCTGATCCTGTGGCCAAAGCTTCCGCAGGTCTTTTTCCTTTGTCTTCCAGGGCCGTGGGGCATCTGTACCATCTAAAAAGACTCCCTCTGAAGAGGACTTTGAAACCATTAAGCTCATCAGCAATGGCGCCTATGGGTAAAGGCAGGGGTCAGGGTGTGGCCGGGACTGGAGCTAATCAGCCCTTGGGCTCTTCCTTCTGGAAGTGGATGATACCCAGTCTTCTGGGCAGCAGATGGACCCTCTCCCTCCCTGAAGCCTCCTGGAGAGGCAAGGGCTCAGTTTCCTCTGATACCTGAGCATTGTTTCTTTCCCAGGCAAAACTCCCACCCCTCATGGGAGCGCTCTCCCCTCCCTGAGCTCCGGGGAAGAGTTGAGCTGCGTCCTCAGGACTTGATGTATCAGGTCTCTTATCAGTTAGAAAATTTAAGAGCTTTATGGGCCAAACAGGCCTGGATTCTTCTCATTGATAAGCACCCCTGCCTCCTTGTTCTGTGTATTTGTAAGATGTGAGAGGAGGCAGCTTGGCCACCTCCGCTCTGGGTAGTGGTGAGCACAGTTCAGGTGCTGAGGGCCCGCGGGGGCTGGGCTGTTTCCCAGGGCTGTATTCCTGGTGCGGCACAAGTCTACCCGGCAGCGCTTTGCCATGAAGAAGATCAACAAGCAGAACCTGATCCTACGGAACCAGATCCAGCAGGCCTTCGTGGAGCGTGACATACTGACTTTTGCCGAGAACCCCTTTGTGGTCAGCATGTTCTGCTCCTTTGAGACCAAGCGTCACCTGTGCATGGTGATGGAGTATGTCGAAGGTACCGGGGGAAAGTGGCCTAGCATAAAGCCAAACACGATCTGAGACTTAGCCCTGAGCTGGGATCAGCAGCTTTGTATAGGGGTGACGTTTCAGGGCCCAGCGTCCCAAGCCCTCTTTGGCATTAGTTTCTGCCTCAGGATCTCAGAGACCACTTGGCCATAGTGGTACAAGGCTCCCTGCCTCTGACAGGGAGATGGCTTCTGGAGCAGTAACTAACCACAAGGACTGCCCATATCAGGGGCACTGAGAGGCACTCTGGGCAGGATATGGCAGCCCAGCAGCTTTAGAAGCCTGCACCCTGAAGCCTGCTGGGGCCAAGCAGGAACACAGGAGATGACAGAGCCACAGAAACCCAGGACTGGGTGCTGGGGGGATTACATCTGGACCTTCAGAAGAAAGGAAAGCCGTTGCCCTAGTGGATGGCTATGAAGGGACGCCCCTTGAAACCATGTAAAATGCTCCAGGGATGGAGTAGAAGAGTAGCACCCATGTGGGGTCCATCTAGGCCCACTCTGGAGAGGGCAGCAGCCCTGTCAGTGGCCCTCCGTTCCCGTCCTCACTGTTATATATAGCTTCAAAGATACTTCACCTAACTCTTAATGTTGAAGCTGGACAGAACTCCCCCTTTAATTCAGTGGGTACGTGCTGGGGTTTTTTCCAGTGTTACTTTGCTCCAAACTAAAGGAGTGCCAGCATGAAGGAAATAAATGAGTAAATGCTAAAGTCTCAGCCAAATGTGTTTACAACATACAGGATTCCCATCTTAGTATAACTTAATCCTTTCCCTACAAGTCAGCTTACTGGTAGAGAGATCTGGCTTTCTTCCCTCTCTGGCCCAGATATTATCCCCTTGACAGTCACTGGCAGACTCGCCTTACTTTCCACTCCCCTCCACACTGTGTCCGCCAACCACGCCAGCAGCAGAGGTACTAGAATCCCATTCTCTGGTAGCAGGGTATTCTGTGAGGCCGTCTCCTCTGGAGCCTTAGAGGTTGCAAGCCTGAGCCCATCTAGAGCAGGGTGCGGTGTCCTTCCTTCATGGTGGCCTGGGCTTGTTGCAGGGGGAGACTGTGCCACTCTACTGAAGAACATCGGAGCCCTACCTGTGGACATGGTGCGTCTGTACTTTGCGGAAACCGTGCTGGCCCTGGAGTACTTGCACAACTACGGCATCGTGCACCGTGACCTCAAGCCTGACAAGTATGCCTACTATCTGAGTCCCTTGTCCAGGGTCTCCCTCTTGGGTCTCTAAATAAATAGAGGTAACACAGCATGTTTGAGTATGTTCCAGAATGGCTGCTGGGAAACTGTCCATGTGGGTGTCCATCTAGGCCTACTATTCCAGCTCCCCGACCACTGCAGATACAAAGACCATTGCTAGCAGGGTCTGGCAAGGCTCTGGTGACATCAGAGAGCCACTGAGGAGCCCTGGGCAAGACACCAAGCAGGAACACCTTGTAGATGGCTGAGCAAGTACCGCAGTATTTGCTGACACCTACTCTGTGCCAAGCACTGTGTTGTGGGCTGGGAATACATAGTGGTGAATATAGTCCCTGGCCTGTAGAGCTTGAGTCTGGTATGGGCCACAGAAATACACTATATGTGTATAGGCTGCTTCTCAGAGGGCATTAGTCAGATGGAAAAAGGTGGGAGGAGCTTTCCAAAGCTGAGGAGGAGCAGCTACAAAGGCACATTCAGGAACTACAGCTAGTACAGTGCGGCTGCAGCTTCTGTGGTTAGTCGGAGAGCGGTAAGAAGAGCTAGGTAGGGACTAGATCATCAGGGTCCTTTTGTTAAGAGTTCGGGTTTTATTTTAAAGGGACCTAGAGAGCCTTTGAAGGGCCTGCTAACCAACTGTGTGATAGAATGACATGCTCAGATTTTGTTCTAGGTTTAGGAAGATCACTGTGCCAGTGGAAAGAGACAGTGAGGCTACTGCAGTAGACGAGGCCAAAACCAATAACGCCTGCCCCGGAACAGAGAGAATCAGGATGGAGAAGAGAGGGGATGGTGTTGGGAAGTAGAAAGGAAAAGATAAGGTTGGAGGTAGGGGATGGAGAAGGAAGCAAGAGGGCAGAAGTCGGGATATCTTCTGGATTTCCAGCCTGGGACTGGTGTACAGTGATAAGCCTTTGTAGTGGAGAGTGGCTTTGGCAATAGACAGACCTGAGTTCAAATGGCCACTCCTTTGCTTATTAACTCTGCAAGCTTAGGTCTGTTCATTAAACCTCTCCTAGCCTCGTGTCCCTCCTCTCTAAAATGGTCATAATAATACCTACCTTTGTTGTGTTAGTTAAATTCTGTAAAATATTTTGGGGGTCAGAATATATCTAAGGTACTTCTCACAGAGCTTAGTAAGTAACAGATCGTTGTTTTTGACTGAGAAGAGGTTGAGTTTGTAGGTTGGGAGGCATGGTTTTGTTTGCATCGGTTGAGTTTATAGTACCTGTGAGACATCTGGGTGGTTGGGTCAGTGGCAGAGATACTGAATTGGGAATCATTAGAATAAAAGGCTGGTGGGGTGAAGTCTGGCACATAATGAAATGGCTCAGGCAGAGTATTCGAAGGGAGAAGAGAGAATTCTCTGTGAGCACTTATTTCTAGTTTCTCCCAACCAGTCCTCCTAAGACAGGCCATGGACATGAAGCAAGATTATGTGCCCCTTCCCCCTGTCCCTGAAAAAGGGGTTTGTGAGCCACTCAGGTGAGGAGAAAGGACTAGGAATGGCTAGGGCAACAACTTCAGGATGAGACTGGTCACTCTGTAAGAAAATTCTGTTCCTCACCTGGCTGATACCTGCCCCAGTATAGCATACAATTGAAGACAATGAAGAGAAGTGGACTTGGGGGAAATAGGTGAAAGGCAGGTCAGTTGCTTGTGCAGAATGCAGTAGTCACAAAGCCAGAGCTATTTACCTTTTCACAATTGCCTGTCGCCCTGCTGAAGCTACCCCACTTATGCCCCACAGCTCCTCATAGAAACCTGTGTGGGAGAGTTTGGCATGTGCTTAAATCAGCACTCTTGAAAACCAGGAAATAACTCCATGATTTTGTTTCTCTGATCTCCCAGCCTCCTGATTACATCCATGGGGCACATCAAGCTCACTGACTTTGGACTCTCCAAAATTGGCCTCATGAGTCTGACAACAAATTTATACGAAGGCCACATTGAAAAGGATGCTCGGGAGTTCCTAGACAAGCAGGTAAGGAAGAATGGTTGGAACCTTGGCGGTTGAATTTCCGACCTCAGAGTAAGGATTTGGAGCCACATGCTCACCCTGTACTGGATGTTAAAAGACTGGGAGCTTCTGTCTTTTCCACCTTTTTATTGTAGGGAGGCACTGAGATAGGGAGCACATTTGGAGAACAGTGTGGGCCGTGAGAATCATATGGATCTAAAATCCAAAGCCGCCTTTTTCCTTAGGGTTTGGACAAATGGATAGTATAACCATTGGCACTTACAGAGTGATATGAGATCAGCCCTGAACCTCCTACCCAGAGTCAAGGGCAAGCCTCTCCTGGGGCCTGCTGTTCTTGGAACACAGCTCCAAATTTCCATTGGGCTGTGGCCTAACTTCCTGAAAGTGACCTCTGGTTGTCCCTTGATTTGACGTTTTTGTTTGTGACTGTTCTCAAGTCCCTGTAGTACTCCTGTGGCTGCTAGGGTCTGTACTTTAGGGAGGCTGGAGGCCAGTCATGGGGACCAGATGCCAGGAGAAGGTGTTGAGGGCTCAGGGAGTATTGATTTCTGGTTAGAATTAGATGTTGTGGAAATTTGTAGAAACACATAAATTTGCCCTACCAATAGTTCCAACTCTGGTTCCCTGGGGCTCCTGTTGATTTTGTTCATTAACTAAGGTGAGCTGAGTCTTCACTCAGAGACTTCTTTGCTCCCGAGGTGGGCACATCCCCATCCCTCCAGCCATCATGCCAGTGAGCTGCCTCAGGAGCCTGCGTCAACCTGGCCTCTCTGTGCCCAGGTATGCGGGACTCCAGAATATATTGCACCTGAGGTGATCCTGCGCCAGGGCTATGGGAAGCCAGTGGACTGGTGGGCCATGGGCATAATCCTGTATGAATTCCTGGTGGGTTGCGTTCCTTTCTTTGGAGACACTCCGGAGGAGCTCTTTGGCCAAGTGATCAGTGGTAGGTACCATTACCCTGGCCCACAAATATGATTTATGCATGCACCTGTGAGGTTCATGAGACCTTGTCAATTCACGTGTGTGTGTTTGATATGTTTGCATCTTAGGGGTGTGTGTGTGTGTACACGTGTGTATCCCTATGTGTTTCCTGAGGCTTGTCCAATATTTGTGTTGATGTATCCCTTATGTGTGCATTGGTGTAACGTGTTGTATATATGTAATGTGTAATAACCTGTGAGTGTGAGTTCTGTGTGTGTGTGTGTGTGTGCATATGGAGCAAAAAGGCAAGGTAAGCTAGAGCCTCAGGACAAGGGAAGTCAGTGCTTTGCAGTGTCTACTCTGGATCAAAGAGCAAGCCATGGTCCAGGGCATGTAAGATCCCCTCAGAGTAGAGGGACCTATAGAACTTAGGGAACTGAGGCCCTAGGCAAGTCTTTCAGGGGCTCTGGGCCGGTCCCTATATGCCTCCCTTCCTAGACCCTCCTCTCACCCACTCCTTTCAACTCTCTCTCTCACCCTGGTGACTCCTCAGATGAGATTGTGTGGCCTGAGGGTGATGACGCACTGCCCGCAGACGCCCAGGACCTCACATCCAAACTGCTCCACCAGAACCCTCTGGAGAGGCTGGGCACAGGTAGGACAGGCCCACTGCCCTTTCTCACCACTGCGGAAGAGGGGAAGGGCAGTCGAGTCCAGGCAGCCTGGAGGTGAACCTTCAGGTGTGGGCCGTCCCTTTGGGTCCTAAAACTCTGCCCTGCTCCCTGTAGGCAGAGAGAAAGTGCTTGCACTAAGAGCTCCAGGCCTAGCCTCTCAAGGTCTGAGTTCTCACTTGCTGGCCTGACTCCAACACAGGGCATCCCACCCCATTGCCCGTGCCCGCCCTGTCCACAGGCAGCGCCTATGAGGTGAAGCAGCACCCATTCTTCACGGGTCTGGACTGGACAGGACTTCTTCGCCAGAAAGCTGAATTTATCCCTCAGCTGGAGTCGGAGGATGATACCAGCTATTTTGATAGTAAGGCCTTCAGGAGGGTGGGGTGGGGTGGGAGTCCTACCAGTTTGACTCAGAAAAACACCCCCTGACCTTGGCATCAGGACCCTGCTGTGATCTAATAAGGTCACAAGGAGGCTACCACCAGGGGCTTCTGAAGGGGACTGACTGTTCCGTGTGTCTGACCCAGCCCGCTCAGAGAGATACCACCACATCGATTCGGAGGACGAGGAGGATGTGAGTGAGGATGGCTTCCTGGAGATCCGCCAGTTCTCTTCCTGCTCTCCAAGGTTCAGCAAGGTGCGGCTGGGGCAGGCTTAGGCTGGAGGATTGGGAGAAGAGGCCTGGGGCAGGCTGGGGGGTGGCGATGGGGCCATCTCCAGAAAGGAGGAGCAGAGGGCTGGGGCTGCGTATGGCAGGTGCTTCTAGGACCGCTGCAGGCCCTGACACAGGAGACGCCAGGGTGAGGCCAGGTCAGACCAGCAGAATAGCTGCTTCCCCAAATGTTCAACTGGTGTGTGTTGGTGAAGGTGGGTGGGGGGAGAGGGGAGCTGGCTCAAATTCCTGGGTTTCAGGTGCCCAGGATTCTTCTTTGCCCCTTGGGGGGTGTGTCTGTTGGAACCCCTCCCCTGTACATCCCCCCCCCACCCTGGCCCCCAGGTGTACAGTAGCATGGAGCGGCTCTCTCTGCTCGAGGAGCACCGGACACCAACCCCCACCAAGCGCAGCCTGAGTGAGGAGAAAGAGGACTGCTCAGATGGCCTGGGAGGGCTGAAGGGCCGAGACCGGAGCTGGGTGATAGGCTCCCCTGAGATGTGAGTGCCCGGAGCTCACCCAGGGTGGGTGCCACAGCCTCCGTCAGTTGCTGCCAATCATGGGAGGCGTGCCAGTGGCAGTGAGGGGGCATTCACAAGGGTAGCTCCCAGGGGTGCTGGGGAGAAAAGGTCTGTGACCATAACCCTTATGTGCTCCTAAGGCAGCCTGGTGGGAGGGGGACACCGCCCAGGCCATCTCACCCCAGGTCTTGTGTTTCACAGACTGCGGAAACGGTTGTCAGTGTCCGAGTCATCCCACACAGAGAGTGACTCGAGCCCTCCACTGACAGTGCGTCGCCGCTGCTCAGGCCTCCTGGATGTGCCCCGCTTCCCTGAGAGCCCTGAGGAGGCTAGCAGCACCCCCAGGAGGCAGCAGCGGGAGGGTACGTGGCTTGTGACACCCCCATCTGGAGAGGGGGTATCTGGGCCTGTCCCTGAACAGCCAGTGGAGCAGCCGCTGAAGCTGGACGAGGAGCCTGTTGGCCAAAGCAGTGGTTCCAGTCCAGGTGTGGCCCAGCAGGTGGCCAGAAGGCCTGGGCTGGGGGAAACTGCAGGGAAGGAGGCTCAGCAGCATTGTGAGTCTCATTGCTCACTTGGGCCCACAGCCACGGAGACCCAAGGAGGCCGTGGGACACCGCAGCTGGCTGAGGGAGCCACAGCCAAGGCCATCAGTGACCTGGCTGTGCGCCGGGCCCGCCACCGGCTCCTATCTGGGGACTCTATAGAGAAGCGCACTCCCCGCCCCATCAACAAAGTGATCAAGTCTGCCTCAGCCACAGCCCTCTCCCTCCTCATTCCTGCGGGTGAGGCCCCTGGGGAACAAGGTCAAGACTTCTCTGGAGGAGGACTTTGAAATCTCTGTAGCCCTGTGGTGGGGTCTGCTTGTAGCAGATGTGTGTGTGTGTGAGTATGCGTGTTGAGGAGCAAGCATCTGAGAGACTGTGTGTCCCTGTGTGCCCCTTTGTTAATGGACTGGAGGTCTCTGCAGGCATGCATTGGCGTCCAGGGCTGTCTGTGCATGTGCCAGGGGCAGGATAGTGCAGTGTAGCAAGTTTAGGCTCTGAAGGCAGAGAGCTTTATAGCAAGTTGTTTAGCCCCTTTTAAGCCTCAAGTTCCTCATCAAAAAATGTGAATAATAGTAGCTCCCTCATAGGATAATTGTGACATTAAACATGATGAATAGCTTATATGGTCCCTGATCCATAGTCAGCACTCAGTAAATGCTAGCTGACAACCCCCTCTCCCCTCCACCACCCTCCAGGGGTCTGCTTGGGTCTGGGCACATGAGAGGGCTTTGCCAGTCAAGTGCTGTGGGGAAGATGGGACTGGGCTCAGGGTCTGTCTGTAACTACTGCTGGTACTGGGACGGCGGACTGCACAGGGGCTGGGCTGGGAGCATGACAGACCAGGCCACTGTGACCTCCTAAGTCCTGGCTTCTCCTCCAGAGCATCACACCTGCTCGCCGTTGGCCAGTCCCATGTCCCCGCATTCCCAGTCGTCCAACCCGTCGTCCAGGGACTCTTCTCCAAGCCGGGACTTCTTGCCAGCCCTGGGCAGCTTAAAGCCCCCCATCATCATCCACCGAGCTGGAAAGAAATACGGCTTCACCCTGCGGGCCATCCGTGTCTACATGGGTGACTCAGATGTCTACACTGTGCACCATATCGTGTGGGTATGTCTAGCTATCCAGACCTGTGTCTCCCAGCATCACCTTCCCCTTAATGGGGCCTATCTACTCCTGCTTCTGTCCCTGCCCACACTACCTTTAAAGCATCAGGGGCTGGGTGCAGGGGGCGACAGCTTGGCGAGCAGAACCAGGCCCATACTTCATGCTCAGGCTCCAGGCTGAGGACGGTTTTCTTCCTGGGGCAGCATGTGGAGGACAGAGGTCCAGCCAGCGAGGCGGGACTTCGTCAGGGTGACCTCATCACCCACGTCAACGGGGAGCCTGTGCAAGGGCTGGTGCACACAGAGGTGGTGGAGCTGATCCTGAAGGTTGGTGCTCGGTGTGGCCATGCCGTGGGGTGTGGCCATGGGGGGAGGAGAGCTGGGTTCACTGAGGACAGATGCACGTACGCACACAACTTGGGTGCAGCCACAGCCCAGGGTTTTCTCCGGAAGACAGCACCCTCACTGACCAAGGCCCAGGGTCCTTCTGAGCTGTGGGCAGGACTAGAGGACAGGACAGGTGAGTCTCTTCTCCACCTTCCTCACCGTGGACCACTCTGGGGCTCCAGAGCCATTTCATAGTCTGTCAAGAGGGAACCTAAGTCTGTGGTTCAGACACATTGGTGCAGGGCTAAAGCTGGAGCTGTGGTATTGCCATGCCTAGGGGTAGGGGCAGGGGCAAGGATACAGCCACTGCCTCAGCCTAGGCCTCGCGCTCTGCTCCCCAGAGTGGAAACAAGGTGTCTATTTCAACAACTCCTCTGGAGAACACGTCCATTAAAGTGGGACCAGCCAGGAAGGGCAGCTACAAGGCTAAGATGGCCCGAAGGAGCAAGCGAAGCCGGGGCAAGGATGGGCAAGAGAGGTGAGCCGGCCTTAGCCCAGCGAGTCTGCACCAGACCACCCTGGAGCCCTGTGTGCCTATCAGACCCCCACTTGGCCTTATCTCTGCAGCAGGAAAAGGAGCTCCCTGTTCCGGAAGATCACCAAGCAGGCATCCCTGCTCCACACGAGCCGCAGCCTTTCCTCCCTCACTCGCTCCTTGTCATCAGGGGAGAGCGGGCCAGGCTCCCCCACACACAGCCACAGCCTTTCCCCCCGATCTCCCACCCAGAGCTACCGGGTGACCCCTGATGCTGTGCATTCAGGTACGAAGGGTTTCTGCAGGTCACAAAGACAATCCCTGGGGGATAGGAAAGTGCCTGTCCCTCTGTGCTTCTCTCAGACCCTACCCCCTGAACAGCAGAGTCTTGGGAAGGAGGTGACGGGGAGGGGGGTTGACTTTGTTTCCGTAGCCTGGGCTCTGGTCCACTGGTGGGGTAACCTTGACAGACCTGGGGCATTCTAGGGCTAGGCCCTGTCTTGCCCCTCAGTCACTTCTAACAGCTAACACTGCTCTACCCTTGTCTGTCTTTCTGTTTGTCTGTACAAAGTGGGAGGGAATTCATCACAGAGCAGCTCCCCCAGCTCTAGCGTGCCCAGTTCCCCAGCTGGCTCTGGGCACACACGGCCCAGCTCTCTGCATGGTCTGGCACCCAAGCTCCAACGCCAGTACCGCTCTCCACGGCGCAAGTCAGCAGGCAGCATCCCACTGTCACCACTGGCTCACACCCCATCTCCTCCACCACCAGCAACTTCACCCCAGCGCTCTCCATCACCCCTGTCTGGCCATGGGGCCCAGGCCTTCCCCACCAAGCTTCACTCGTCGCCTCCCCTAGGCAGGCAACTCTCACGGCCCAAGAGTGTGGAGCCACCCCGCTCACCACTGCTTAAGAGGGTGCAGTCAGCCGAGAAACTGGCGGCTGCACTCACCGCTTCTCACAAGCACAGCCTTGACCTGCCCCACCCTGAGCTGAAGAAGGAACTCACACCCAGGGAAGCCAGCCCTCTGGACGTAGCTGGAACCAGGAGTGTGCTGTCTGGGAAGGGGGCGCTTCCAGGGAAGGGGGTGCTGCAGCCGGCTCCCTCACGGGCCCTGGGTACCCTCCGGCAGGACCGGGCTGAACGGAGAGAATCACTGCAGAAGCAAGAAGCCATCCGTGAGGTGGACTCCTCAGAGGATGACACCGATGAGGGGCCTGAAAACAGTAAGGGCATACAGGAGCCCAGCTTGGCACCTAGCCCAGAAGTGGGCCAGAATCTACCCCTCAGAGGAGCAGAGGGTGGGGAAGAGGATGCCTTCTTGCCCAGTGACCCCAAGAGTCAGGGCCCAGTGGCCCCAGACCTATTGACAGGGGTCACACTGGGGCCTCCCAGAATAGAGGGCCCCAGTGCCCCTCAGAGTTGGGTTGGGAGCCTGAAAGCCTCTGAGGAGGCTGCCATCACCTCCTCACCAGCCCCCAGCCTGGGGAGGGCTGGACGCACAGACCCCATCCCCACTGAGGGCTGCTGGAAGGCCCAGCGCCTCCACACCCAGGCACTAACAGCACTTTGTCCCAGCTCTTCCGGACTCATCCCCACCGGTTGCTCTGACACTTCCTCCACTCCTGGGGAGCCAAGCCCATGGTCCTGGAAATTCCTTATTGAGAGCCCAGACAAGGCATCCCCAAGTAGAAAGGCAATGATGGAAGTTGGGCCAGCCAGGCTCCAGGATTTGGAAACTACAGTTCCGGCCCACCCTGAGAACCTGTCTCCCAGGCAGGAGGGGAAGTCACAGCTACCTAGTGGCCCTGGACTGGCCCATTCACCTTGTAAGGTTCCCAACCATAGCTGGCTGTGGAAGCCTGGATGTCTACAAGTAGAGAAAGAGGAGCTGGAGGCAGCCCTTGGCATTACCAAAGTGCCTGATGCCTCAGGTGACAGTAGGCAGGATGCTCCACGCAGAGGCTGCCCACACACCCAGGAGCCTGGGCCCAGCCGGCTCCAGAGAGGCCGAGAACCAGGGGGCTCTCAAAAACATCAGGACTTAGCAATGGCACCTGATGAGCTTTTGAAGCAAACGTAACAGTTGTCTGACATTTCTTGCACTGAGACCTGTGTAATACAAGCTCCTGGAAACCATCGTGATGTCTTTGGCTTTCTTCCTTTCTCCATTCAACACATGTAGTCTAGGTCCTGTGTTGCTGCTGGGATTATAGTGGCGATAAGACAGTTTCCACCTGCAGAAGAGGGACACCTAACCAAGCTTGGCTTCCCAGAGACTATGACATCTGAGCTCATACCTGAAGGATAGGTGATAGTTAGTAGTTTGCTGGGGATAGCAGAATGGGGGTTGTTTTAAGAAAGAATGTTCAGGCAAAGAGCACAGCATATACGATACACATGGTACATTCAAGAAACCTAAAATAATTCAAAGTGGGAATGGGCCCAGAGGTCTTCCAGGAGTTTATACATTTCCTGAAAGTGATAGAGACCTATAACAACTAGCATTTCTACTTTATAGACGAGGCAGTTCAGTTTTTCAGAGGTGAAGTAACTTCCCCCAAGGTCATACAAGTTTGGGCAGAGCTGGGATTAGAACTTGGGTCCCTCTTGACTCCAGAACCTGTATCTTTTTGCTTCCTTCTAACTTGGTGTGCCTCTTAGCCAAGAAATAAAAAGGAGAAGTGGAGAGAGGTAAAGAGTTTAGCTGTTTTAGTTTGAGGTATTTGTGGGCCAGCCAAAAGGTATGTATGAGTTTGGAACTCAGTAGGGAAATCTAGACTGAAAAACTCTGAGAAGTATCAATAGTGGTGCCTCAGTGAACACATTTAAGGCATGCATACACACACAAAAAGACTTAGAAAAAGCAGAAGAGAATCAAAATCTGAAGAATTTTTAAAGGGAGGAAGAAATTGTTAAAATGCTGAGGTCAGGTGAAATGAGAATAGAAAATTGCATACTGAATTCAGTAATAAGTCTTTAGTGTTCTGGGCTGTTGTTAGGTTGTCCTCAGCACTGGAGATGGACGTTGTTGAGGTGTGCAGCCCTCAATGACTAGAATTGCCCTTGTTGGTGGGTGGGTGGTGTGGATGGTAGGGAAGTGGGGAGCACATCAGTGGGGCCAGGTGTGTATGGCACTGCAGGGTGTTGGAAGAGTGGGGTGGTATCACACAGGTGGGGAGCTGGGCTGTGATGGGTACCAAGGCTAGAAGAAGAGTGCCTCGTGGTGATGCAGAACCTGCGAAACTGCTTGCCTGCATCAGTTGTCCCACAATCCAGTGCCTAATTCTGAAGAACCTTCAAGGAGCCTGGAGACAGGAAGATGCCTCTGGGTAGATACCACTGCTCTTTGCTGCTCTACACAGGTGGCTGTGGCCACCAGAGGGCATGCTCTGCCCACTCTTGCAGTGTCCTTAGCCTCCAGTCCCCTCTTCAACTTCCTTCTTCCTCTTCCTCCAGCCATTCATTGACACCAGACCCTAGGCCTGTTGATACTGGGTATTGGGAACACAGGTCACAGGTTGCTCCCAAGAGGACTTCAGGGGGAGGACTGGGAATGAGTGTCACATACCACGTCAGGATCTGGTTGGAAGTGTAACATCCCTAGATGCAGGAGGAGGGGGACAGATCTTACAGCAGCTCATGGGAGAAAGGAACTGCTCCTTAAGGGGGTTAGAAGTGAGGGGGTGTCTTTTTCTTTTGCTTACTAACAAAACCTTTACCATTTCAACATTTTTTACATACACAATTTAGTGACATTAGTTACATTCGTGTTGTGCAACCATCACTACTATCTGTTATGTGGGGTTTTTTTTCTTGTCACAATGACACATTTACGGGAGGGGGCGGACAGAGATGCTAAGCATCCTTCAATGCATACAGCAACTGCCCCAAGTGCCAGGGATGTTCCCCTTGAGAAGCCCTGGGCAGGGGTTACCCTGTGGGGAGTGTGGTATTTCTGAAAGGTAACTGCAAGGAAGTGACGTGATCAGATTTGAGGTTTACAAAGATAACGCTGGCTGCAGTGTAGAATGGAGTGACAGACCAGAGAGAAAGTGATGTAGTGAACAATTTACGGTGGTTGGAATGGACGGCATCAGTGAGGAGGTAATACCAGCCTGAAGAAAGAAGGCGGGAAAGTGAGAGGAGTTGGACACCTAGATTGGGGAGTCATCAGCAAATGGTAATTAAACCCATAGGAGCAGATTCAGATTGTACAGTGAACATGTAGAATGAGAAGGGAAGAAGGCCCAAGACCACAAGCTGGAGTGGGGTGGTAAGGGGCAGTGAAAAGAGAATGGAAGTGGGAGATGATATCCTGAACCAGGAACTGGCCTGGGATAAGAGGGGAGCCCGTATTCCTGTGTGACAGAGGCAGTGGGGCTTGTAGCTTTGGTAGCAAGAAGTTGAAGAAGTGCTTGTCTGATGACCCGCTTTCTATGAAGAAGGAGGTGAGATCTTTGAGAGTGGTGAAGTAAGAAGTTTAAGGGAAGGTGAGAGGGTTTGAGATAGCTAACAGTGGAAATGAGATACAGCTGACTCGGGAAACAAACCGACTACTGAGCAACAGTAATAACCAACTTTTTCAAGCACTTACGCTCCACTGTTCTAAGCTCCTTATACATATTTATTTAATCCTCACATAACCCTATGAAGTAGTTACTACCAGTCCCATTTTACAGATGAGGAAATTGAAGTAACAAGACGTTAAATAACTTGCCCAAAATGAAGCCAGGATTCAAAGTCAAGCATTCTGACTCCAGAGCTCAAAATCTTAACCACTACTCTGAGACTGGAAGTCTCAAAGTTGTCTTGGCACAACTCAGGCATCTGTGTAATCTCCTCCAGCCTATCAGCCTGGACATTTGAACTGGAAAAGGAGCAACTGCGGTGACCCAGAATTGGGCACTTCCCGGCTAAGGCTGTCTATCCATGAGAGTCTTTGTTGCAACCCAACAGAAATTGAATCTGTTAACTTGGCAGAAAAGGGATAGTTAAGAGGATATGGGGTAGTTTACAGGACTGAGAAGAGACTAAAAAACAGGCTCCAGAAAGGAGCATTATGTAACAAAGAGGGGTCAGGCAGCAGAAACATTCTGGGCAAGACGCCTCCACCTCTGGCCACTCACTGCCAGACCAACCACCACTACCACGAGGCTAGTCTCCTCATCCCTTCCTGTTTGCATCACTTGCTCAAATTCGAAGTCTTAGGTGAGAACATCTGTTCAGCTCTGACCAGGTATGTGGGCCCCCTCAGTACTCTGTGGCAGAGAAAGATGAGGTCCTGCTTCCTATCAAGGGACATACAATGGAGAAATCCCTAAAATTGGGCCAGATGCTGAGCAGCCTAAAGGACAAACATGTACTGCAGTGTTAGCAAAAAAAAAAAACCAATGCCGTTGGAGTCGATTCCGACTCATAGTGACCCTATAGGACAGAGTAGAACTGCCCCATAGAGTTTCCAAGGAGCACCTGGTGGATTCAAACTGCCAACCTTTTGGTTAGCAGCCGTAGCACTTAACCACCAGGGTTTCCACTGCAGTGTTACTAGAATTAAATCAGTGAGGCCCTCAGGTCCAGGCTAGACAGGGAAGAATGTGAAGCCATAATTTAAGACTGGAGGTATGTCCTGGGAAGGAGTGAACTGGAAGGACAAGGAAAGTGGTTAAATAGTGGGATGTTTGGGTTTTAAATTTCAATCATTCAGCAAAAATTTACTCGGTGCCTAGTGTGTGCTCGGCCCCAAGGATAAAAGGATGAGTGAAAAGACATGAACCCTCCTCACAGAGTAGAGGGAAAGACATTCATCTTATGGTCAGAAAAATAGATGGATAAACAGCTCAGTTAAGGGTTGAGAGGGAAAAGAACATGGTAACGTAACAAAGCAACCTGACCTAGACTGGGGAGTTAGGAAAGGCTTTCCTAAGGAAATGACTCATGAACTGAGATCAAAAAAGTCTGAGATGAAGCTAGAGAGGTTGGGAGAAGCCAGACCATTTTAAGGATTTTTAATTTATCCTAAGAGCAATGGGAAGTCCTTTAATGGTCTTATACATGTTCAGATTTTTATTTTGAAAAGATGACTGTATGCTATAATGAGAATGGATGTGAGGGGGGCAGGAATGGAAGGGAAGCCTTCCAGTACCAAGGTAAGAGACAGCAGTGAAGCAGTGAAGTTGGAGAGAAGTGGTGTATTTGAGTGATACTTAAAGGGTATACATGACAGAATTTGGTGATGGGTTTTATGTAGACATAAAGCAAAGAAAGATACCATGGGAAATGACTATATTTCTGACCTACATAGCCAGATGGATTATATTTCCATTCACTGAAATATAAAACAACAGAAGAACCAAGGCTAAGTGGTGACCTGCATTCAATATGCTGAATATGACATACCTTCCAATAGAGATCTGGGTAGGACAAATGTAATAAGGTGTGGATAAAACTGCCAGGGAAAAAAGCGTAAGTGAGAAGAGGGCCAGAGGATGGACCTGTCTAGGAGACTTAAAAAGAACAGACATGTAGGAGGAAAACTTGATGAATGAGTTGTCATAGAGCCAATGGAAGAGTTTTTCATGGAGGGAGTAGTCAGTGGAGACAGTTACTGAAGACATCAGGGAGCGCAGTTCCAGGTAGTGGTGGAACCCTTACTGAAATGCTTGGGGAGGTGAGGAATTGAAGACAAATTTACACAACTCTTCCAAAAGGTTTGGCTTTGAAGGAGAGAAAAGAGATAAAGGAATATGGGACTGAGGATTGGGGAAGTGGGATGAGAGACATCCAACCATATTTAAATGTCAGTGGGATGATCCAGTTGAGGGGAAACAATAGGGAAGGAATTGACAGATCATGTGAAATTCCTCAGAAGGGAGGAGAAAATAGGATTCAAAATACTGTAGAGGGACTGGCTTTAGTTGGGGGAGGGCTACCTTTTGTAATTTAACAGGTGAGGATGTATGTGGATATAGGTAGGTTTGTAGGTTTGGTGGTAGAAGGTGAGGGAATTCATAGCCAAGCATACATTTTCTCTGTGAGGTAAACAAAAAGTTTGAAGCACCTGTGGAAACCCAAGGCCCTGGTGAAGACATTCAGCCAGCAGGTGGAGTTCAGAAAAGAGAACTGGGCTGGGGATAGGAATCTGAATGTTCTCAGCATAGAAGTGGGAACTCTCAACTCTTGGGAGTAGGAATGTTCTCCGCACAGAAATGGGAACTATTAACTCTTGGGAGTAGGAGTGATAATCCATGGTTCCTAGCAGTGGTCTTGGGGGGCGGTGTGTAGCTAAATAGTGTGAGGGAGGAGGGGCATAGATAAGGTCATTTAGAACTAGACTGTTCCCCTACCCAGTTTTGTTTTGTAATTGAGTGCACAGCTGGGGGTGCCTAAGAGACATGGAAGAGAGTTGCAATGTCCCGTGCAACTAGAGGTTTGTGCAACTGCAGGTTTTCACACATTTGCTCATTACATCCCCAGCAGGTAGGAGCCTCAACAAAGTACCAGGCAGGAGAGCGACAGGGGCCTGGGGCAACAAGAGTCCATTCCCTCTGCCCCCAGGGTAGAATGTGGAAACACTTGATTTCCAGTCAAAAAGATGTGATGAGAACCAGTAAACTGGGCTTTCTAAAAATTGGGAGTGGGTGGGTTGGGAAGGAAACGGCTCTCAGATTTAACCTTCCCAGAGTTAGTTACTGAGTTTCCCTGTGTCCTGGGCTAAATGGACAGGACTCCAGCACCATGCTTGTTAGGGTTGGCTTCCTCTTGTTGGAGGAGAGAAGAAGAGAGCGTCTGGTGGCCCCAGTTCATCGCAAGAACCAGTCTTTTCGTGCTCCTGGGAGAGGAGGTTTGGGAGATTCAAGAGCTTTTCAATACCCTAGTCCTCTTCCCTCTTACCCCACTCCCCAGCCCATCCCACCATCACAGGAGGCCAAAAAGGTGCTTTATTGCAATGTCTTTATTGCATTACTGGAGCAAGTTGGCCAAAATGTCCCCTTTTGGGGAAGGTAAACAAAAAGACCAAAAAGTATCTCCCTCACCTTCCCCCCGCCCTCCCCCACGACTGCACAGCAATGTCTGAACACATCTGGTGACAAGAACAATTTGCAAAAGTGGTCTAGGAACTACATTATGAACTGTTCCAACACAAGACACATAGTTGGCTTCTTTGTGAACCAGGTATTCTTACATAAACTACATGAATTTTTTTGACTACATCAAAGACAACAGAACAGGTTTTCACAAGTAACAACAGGGCACCAACATCACATGCTGGAATTTGTAAGGAAAAAAGGTTGGTTGTCACAAGTGGCTAGAGCTAAAGCAAAGCTGAGCAGTTGGCAGCAGAGGGCCCAGCTAGGCCTCCACCTGGATCCTCTGGCTTCTGAGGCCACTGAAGCCTCACAGAGGCCTACTTTGGGATGTTAACTGGCAGCAGAGACCACCTTGGAAATGAGGCATTGCCCAGATCCATTTCTTGTCCCAAGAGGACCCATGGGGCTGGTTCCTTGCACCAATAAGAAGAGACCCATGGAAGACATCACATTGGCTCTCAAAGCTTTTTCAGAGCACATGAGGTCCAAAGACCCAGGGAGCAAGTGGAAAGTTCCACCAAGGTTTCAGGGAGGGGGTTGTATTAGGAAGCCCTCAGCCTTCACCAGAGAGTTGATAAGGACACAGCCAGCCTGCACAGGCCTGAGCCATGGCCAAGGTTTGGCATTTCTGGCAAGGTGGAGGAGAGCATTGTTAAGACCTGCGCCCAGCCATCCTTGAGCTGCTTCCGTGTTGGTGGTTGGCTTCCCTAGCCAAGAGAACACTGAGCCCCTCCTTCAGCTCCAAGATCTACCCCCACAGTGGGGTCTGGTCTTGGTCTATCCTCTTATCTTCTGCCTCAGTGGGGCTGTGGTTAAGATGCCAAGAGAGACAGTCTCAGGGCACAGATCACGGGATAGGACACAGAGGTAGACTCAGACCTGCTCCCAAGATTATGGGACAAAGGAGCTGCATACTGCCCCTACACACACAGACACACACACACAGACACACCCACACAGACACACCCACACACACACACAGACACACACGCAAACAGCTCAGTGGTTACTAGGTTGGCCTCTATGCCACTTCCACTGGCTCAGTATCGAGCAAATCATGTGGCAACCGGTCAGAAAAGATATCTTCCAACTTCTCAATGGATCCCTGGGTCTTAGATCCCACAAAGCAATGAACTAAAAAATAAAAAACAGGAAAGAAAAAAAAAAGTGAAGGAATGTAGGACAGGAAATAAAAGCAGCCCTTCTCCACAAGCCAGCCAAAGGGTAGATAATAAGATGGTGCTTGCTCTCTGGCTGCCCTCCCCAATGTCTACCTGGTAAGGTGCAGACACAAGGGCCAAAGCTACAGGCATATATTCTTATTCCCATTTTGGTTTATTTTAAAAGAGACATTCAGCACACACTAAAATTTTAGTACCAGAAAGGAGGATTCTTTGTACCCAATCTTGAGCATCCAACTGCTTAAGCAGGTTCAATACCAGGTGCAAGGCCATCCAGGTGTGCCCAGCAGCAACTAGCCCAGCATCACCCAGTAAAACTTTCAGGAAAATTTCAATCTGGCAATTTAGGGGGAAGTGTGTGCAGCTGGCTGACTGTTAGTCAAGGGTTTAAGTCAGAACAGTGATACTGAGTGGGGGTTCATTTGTCTCTTCTCTTACCCAACCCTGAAACTGCAATTTAACCAAGGAAAAGCCAAAGATATGCTCTTTCCTTCTCAGCCTCATCACTAATAACTGGAAATTTCTCCAAAAACTTTAATCCACATCTATTTCTACAGCATGGTCCATTTCAGGCTTCATCACCAAGGTAAGTGCTCAGTGAAAGCAATATTTGTTTTTCTTCCACCCCTAAAACTAGAGCTTCCCTAGCTGTAAGCCTGATGCATCAAGATCCAGGCACTAGCTTTTCTAGCTCAGCCAGGATGCCTGACTGACAGCTTTGGGCTCAAACAGCTGACTCACTCTGACCCTATTATGGTTCCAGGATTGGCTCAGAGACAGATGGACTCTATTTGTCAAGCGAGTGTTGATAAATGGGGGTGGGGCAAAATGCAGACAGGAGGAGATGCCTGCCCCCTACCCCATTCGCCTAGCTTCACTCAGCTAGAAGGCTTAAACACATGGAGCAGAAGATTCCTGGCCTAAAATCAGGCCAATGAAGCATGAGGGCAGACTGTGCACACTGTCTTAATAGCAGGATCACAAAAAAAGGCAAAGAGAAAAGCTTCCAGATGGCTTTTACTAACAGTTTAAACTCTAAGCCATCTTTTCATCTTCCTGCAAAAGCTTCAGCAACCACTGGATGGAAGCACATGGGTAATGTACTCCTGTGGGAAGACCCTCACCCTGGACTCCAGGGCTTCTGAGTCTGTGATTCACTGAGGTCCCTGACCACAATCTGCCTGCCCCCTTCCTGCTACAGCAAAGGAAGAAGAGATAAAGAGAAATTAAACCATGTTTACTGTTTCTGCAGAGGCCTTTAAACTCGGGGAAGCACATGTAAGAATGTTGTCCTGTATCATTATTGGGTATATTCAAGTCATCTAAAAGCACTGGATTGCACCTTTTCTTTACTCAAACAAGTTACAAAGGTTTCAAACAACAGATCATTCTTTAGACTAAGGAAACACCACAAAAGCACCAACTTCACTTTATGATTCAAAGCTCACCATCTCCACAAAAACAACACTATTCTTAATGTCCAAGAAACAAGGGCAGGGCAGAAGGAGTTGCACCAACCAGTTTTAGTGTTTGCAAAAATTCACACATTCTAGTTTTCCTTTTACTTTTAAGTTTTGGTATAGAAGTGTGCATTCAGATACTAGTGCCACCTTCTCCCATCAGGCCTTAGTCCAGCAACAAACATTGTTTTGGTGGGATCAGTTTGGTTTCTAAACATAATGCTTCTTTAGAGGGAGGAGCTAGGGGCTGCTGAAGCCTCAATTATGTTGGTAAGAAATACAGCACCTTCAGTTGAAGGTTTCCTCCCCTTGGCTTAGATTCTTTAAATGAAATCCCGAGCGTCCCCGTTTTCCTTTGGTTGTCTTTTTCAGCAAATCCCATGCTACCACCGAACCAAAAGAGCCTTCTTTTTTTCTTTTCAGGGGTGGCAGGGTTGGGGGGCGGAAGTTCATATGTGTCCTAAGAGAGACTGCCAGATGAAGACAGAACTCCCGGCAGAGCCATGCCCCTGCTGCACTCTCAAAGACCAAAAGAAGACATGGATTCTTCAGAGGGTTCCAATAACCCACACCCAAGCCTAATGTGTTTTGTTGAGGGTGACTGGCTAAACGAAACAAAAGCCCCAATAAAACAAACTTTCCAATAAACAACATCTGCTTCCAGCTTAGTATGTCAGTGCAGTGGCGCGGCTAAGTACCAGGGAACCCATCCCCCTTCTTCCCCCACCCTGGCCGGGTGCTGCTCGGTCTCCACTTCACATTCACAGAATCACTTCTTGTGCAAAACAAGCAGTCTACGTAGAAAGAATGCCCTCATAGTCTAATAAAAACTGTATAAAAGAATGCTAGAGAGCCACCTCTCTTCCCATCCCCTCTTTATCTGCAGAGCGAGGGCATCTGTGCATGGACAGGGTAGGCAAGCCTGACGTTGAGGGAGTCGTTGTGCTGAACAAGGGATGTCTGCTGGTAATGGAGCACCAGCTCCTTCAGTGAGCTGTACAGGTTGTAGGGCTCTGCAAAGCCATAGCCCCGAGCAGTGCTGTAGATCACACAGTGCTTCACTTCCCCATCGGCACTGCAAAGATATAACACACAAACAGCACAGGAAAATCGTTAAGGGAGATAACAGTAGATAAAAAACCAAAAACCAAACACACTGCCATGGAGTCGATTCTGACTCGTAGTGACCCCATAGGGCTTCCAAGGCTGTAAATCTCGATGGAAGCAGACTGCCAAATCTTTCTCCAGCAAAGCCGCTGATGGTTTCAAACCGCTGACCTTTTGGTTAGCAGTCAACTCCTTTAACCACTGCACCACCAGGACTCCATAAACGCCCACAAGTCTGAGAGCAACTGTTACGCAAAAGGAAGCGAAATGTTTTCTAGATAGGACAAAACTTGTAATATGCCACCTGCAGGTGTACGTCCCAATCCCCCAGATACAGTCATGGCCATAGAAATATCCTTTACGTCCCACCAAGAGCTGGTAGAGCTAAAATGGATGGCTGCAATTAATCACTCAGCTCTAGATCTTCATTAGGCAAGAATGCACTGGAGAGGGGCGGAACAAATCAAATTTCTTTCTTAAGTGTATAATTCAATGATTTTTAGTATGTTCACAGATATGTACAACTATCACCACTAATAATATTTTCGTCACCCCCCAAAAAACTCCACTTTCCCCTTAGCAGTCACTCTCCATTTTCCAATCCCCCCAGCCCCCAGCAACCACTAATCTACTTTCTGTCTTTATGGATTTGCCTATTCTGGACATTTTATATAAATGGAATCATACAATATATGGCCTTTGTGTCTGGCTTCTTTCATTTAGCACAATGTTTTCAAGGTTCATTTATGTGGTAGCATGTATCAGAACTTCATTTCCTTTTACGGCTGAATAATACTACGTTGTAGGGTATACCGTATTTTGTTTATCCATTCATCAGTTGATGGACATTTAGGTTGTTTCCTCTTTGGGGTTATTATGAACAATGTTATGAACATTCACATACAAGTTTTAGTGTGGACATACGTTTTCATTTTTCTTGTGTATACACCTAGAAGTAGAATTGCTGAGGTATAAGGTAACTCTATGTTTAACTTTTTGAGAAACCGCCAAACTGTTTTCTAAAGTGGCTGCACAATTTTACATTCCCACCAGCAGTGTACGAGGTTGTTCCAATGTCTCCACATCCTTGTCAATACTTGTTAGAATCTGTCTTTTTTATTTAAACCATCCTTATGGTGTCTCATTGTGGTTTTGGTTTGCATTTCCCTAACTAATAATGTTAAGCACATGTTCATATTTACTGGCCACTTGTACATGTTCTTTGGAGAAATGTCTATTCAAATCCTTTGCCCAGTTTTTAATTAGGCCGTTTGTTGTCTTCTTCTTGAGTTGTAAGAGTTCTTTATGTATTCTGGATTTGTTGTTGTTGAGTGCCATCAAGTCAATTTTCGACTCACAGTGACCCCATATGACATAGCAGAACTGCCCCACAGGGTTTTCTTGGCTGTGATCTTTACAGAAGCAGATCACCATGAGTTTCTCCCACAGAGTCAATGGATGGGTTCGAACCACCAACCTTTTGGTTAGCAGTCAAGCACTAACCGCTGCACCACCAGGGCTCCTTGTATTCTGGATACCAAAACCCATTGCTGTCAAGTTGATTCAATTCACAGTGACCCTACAGGACAGAGTAGACCTGTCCCATACAGTCTTCTTGGCTATAATATTTATGGAAGCAGATCACCAGGTCTTTCTCCCATGGAGTGGCTGGTGGGGTTCGAACTGCCGACTTTTCAGTTAGCAGCCAAGCACTTAACCACTGTGCCACCAGGGCTCCTTTGTATTCTGGATACTAGTCCCTTATCAGATACAGTGACACCTGTCAGAGCTGGAACTCAACAGCACTGCTTTGTTTTTCCAGGTCTCACACATTTTCTGCCTTTGAGAGGGTGAGGTCTAACCAGTTTTCTATTAAGAATCCTACCTCAAAAACACCCAGAAAGTGTTTCTTTTCGATTTTATAGGACTGGAAAAGAAACTAAACCATTTTTTATGATTTGCACGTTTATTCAAATTATGAAGGTATGTGCATATACTATTCAAACAAAGATATGAGTAAAATTCATTTTTTAATAAAAACATCTAACATCAACTGTTCAGTTTTGGTTTTCTGATGAAATTATTGAAACAAATTTCTAAGTCTGTAGCCTTATCAAAAGACACTTGGTGTCCTTTAACTTTTCCAAATTCCATCAAAGCCTTTATAGAGCTGAAAACTTGTGTTTGACTTAAAGGCATGGGCTTTTCTAATGGTAGAACTTCATCATTTCATCATTGCCATCTTTAGACTTTGAGTCCACACTTTCTTGTAGGTTAATGTCATCCATTTCTGTGGCAGTTTCTTTGTCTATATCAATGTAAGATGCAGCACTGACCCTATTTCCTGAAACACCACTATAAATGTCATTTATTGCATCCTGAATCTGCATGATGTTATCAGGCTCGATAACTGTTTCATTTTGTATACTATCGATACTGCCGAATAAGACAGTAGTTCTTAAAGCATTTTCTTACGGTTTCTTCCTTAATCATTTTGATTGATTGCTTAAGAAATGAAATTGCATCAGGGACATTGATTTTCCCCAAAATCTCTGGTGCCATCTTGCACATCTCAATGTTGGTAATCACTTTTTGAAGCAATAGCTTTCTGCAGTTTACTTCAATATTTTGGATAATGCCATTATCCAGAGGTTATAGGACTGACTTTGTGGATGGTAGAAAAAAATTTTAAGGTTGGACAGGAGCAGTGACCAATGACAAGTAGCACTGTCAATAAATAAAAGAATGCTTTGACTTTTTTTTAATGCTATTGTTGAGTTTATTTAAAAACTCTTTGTAAATTGCTCCCATCTTCCAAGCTTTTTTATTCCATTTCCATTCTACTGAAAGCTGATTTAATTTCGATATTCTTGAAGCACCATGGTTTCTCGCTCTTTCCAATTACCCATGGTTTCTCAAATGTCTCACCATCGTTTCTCAAATGTCCCACTCACAAACGTGGTCAAGAGGACAGTAAGCCACTCTTTCAAAAACCAACCCCGGAGCATTTTTCCTCCTTCATTTTTCAGGATCCTGTTGGTCATTGGAGCCCTGGTGGCATAGTGGTTAAGAGCTCGGCTGCTAACCAAAAGGTCAGCAGTTTGAATCCACCAGCTGCTCCTTGGAAACCCTATGGGACAGTTCTACTCTGTCCTATAGGGTCGCTATGAGTCGGAATCTATGGCAACGGGTTTAATTAGGCATCAGCCTATAAAATAGAGCAGTCTCATTGGCATTTGCAATGTTGTTAGTATCATATCCCTTACAATCTCTTTTAATTTTGTCGACCAGTTTTGAATAATGTCTTTGTCAACCCTGTTTGACTCTTGGCTTCCTTGACGGTCTTTTTCTCTTTGGTTATTATTTTGACAATGCCAAACTTTTCTCTCAGAGATAAATGTCTCACTCTCTTGTCTATGGCGGTGAAGGAATAAGCTTTTTTTTAAAAAAAAATAAGCTTTTCAAAAAAGGAAATAAGTTCTTATAAACATTAAGGTATTTATGATCTTGTTGAAAATGTGAATACCTCAAAAAAAAAAGAAAATTATCAACATCATTATATGATAAAGGTAGCATACTTCAGTGAAATATTTAAGAAAAAAAACCACCTGAGAAGCATGTTTTTGCTTTTGTATACACATTGAATGTGTTAAGTGGGGAAGTGCTTCACTGTTTTCTGGGCAAAACAAGAAATTCAGATGGAAAGAATTTCAAGGAAATGAAGGAGGGGATTTTGAAAATCATAATAACATGTATCAAAATTACAAACAGCCAAACCGAAAATTAAAAATTAAAGATAAGGAAAAGAGTTAAAACTTTTAAGACAAGGAAAAAAAGTTGTTCTTTGCTAGATTTTAATGAAAATAAAGGAATTTATTAGTATCTCTTACCTTCTTCCAAACTTGTTGAATTTGTTCTTTGCTAGAAAAAATTTACAGGCAAAAACAAACAAGCAAACCAACAAAAAAGGCAAAAATGTAAAGAACAGATGTCCTCAGAGAGCAGAAACAATGCACAGTACGCACTCACACACAGTCACAATGCAAAAGGAAGTGGAAGACTAAATAAGCCTTCATCTCTGACTCAATTCTTGGAACTATTTCTGGCTTTCACACCTGCACTTCCTTTTTCTTGGGTTGAAATACCATCAATTTTCTAATTCTACCCATGTCTAGTAGGTTCCGGCTTTCAGAGAATATTTGTTAGGCTGAAGTAATCATTTTAGTGGAAAATATTTGAGTTTTCCTTCTCTGACAGGTTTCTGCCTTACACACGTTCTGGCTTTCTCAGGTTTTACTGTGTATGCTTTGTAAATAATTTCTCCCATTCTGTGGGCTGTCTTTGCACTTTTCTGACAGTATTTTTTGAAGCACAGAAGTTTTTAATTTTGATGAAGTCCAATTTAACTGTTTTTGCTGTTACTTTCGGTGCCATATCCAAGAAACCACTGCATAATCCAAGGTCACGAAGATTTAAACCTATGTTCTTCTTCTAAGAGTTTTACAATTTTAGCTCTTACATTTAGGCCTATGATACATTGTGACTCCTTTTTTTTTAATATATGGTATGAGGTAGGGGATCCAAATTCATTCTTTTGTATGCAGATATCCATTTCTTGCAGCATCATTTGTTGAAAAGACTATCCCTTCCCCTACTGAATTGTTTTGGCACCCTTGTTGAAAACCAATTGACCATACATGTAAGAGCTTATTTATCAACTTTCAATTCTATTCATTCATCTATATGTCTATCCTTATGCCAGTGCCACACAGTCTTCATTACAATAGCTTTGCAGTAAGTTTTGAAATCGGGAAGTGAGAGAGTCCTCCACTGCAGCTTTTTACTCATTTCATGATTGTTTTGGCTATTCTGGGTCCCTTGCATTTCTATATGAATTTTAGGACCAGCTTGTCTATTTCAGCAAAAATAAAAAAGCGAGTTAGGATTTTGATAAAATTTGCACTGAAT